CGCACCACGGCGCCCTGGGAGCCGGACCCCAACACCAGCCACCCGCGGCGGGGCCGCACTGCCCGCTCCCCGTCGCGGGTCCTCACCTCCAGCCCCAAGGACCAAACAGTATTCCAACGCCGCCGGCTTCGGGGTTCTGCCCGCACCCCGGCCCCGTGGCCCTGCCGCACGGGGTGCAGGGCCCGCAGCAGGCGTCGCCAGTGCCCGGGCAGATCCCCATTCACAGAGCACAGGTGCCACCGACGTTTCAGAACAGTTACCACGGTTCGGGGTGGCATTAAGACAGACTCGTTTCGAAAACTTTTTAAAATGTTGTGTAAGATAAACTGTATATTTCATATGTACCTATCGGGGTACTTTTTAAAGCTTGTACATGAAACTTTGTATAAAAAAAAAAAAAAAAACCAGTGCTCTTTCATTGTATTTTCCCCATTTTTGCTTTTTAAAATTTCTTTTAAAATGTGCTGTTAAACCAGTATTAGGTATCTTTATTTTGTAAGTGAACATTCCAGCTGTTCTTCTGGCAGTAGATTTGATGCTACATGACCTTTAAATTTTATTGTTGCACTTAATTCATTTAGTGAATGTCTATTATTTTATACATACGCATTAAGTACACAGCTACGTAATGGCACTATGAGGATTTTCTTTTTTGGGGGGTTCAGCAGTTCTGTGAGAGTGCATCTTAGGTATAAAAATGCAATACAGATTTTTTTATAGTTTGGTGTGGATATGGCTCATTTTGTCTTATCAGTTATTTCCAAGCAAAATGTAATTTAATGTATAGATGATTTCTAATGTCTCTGACAAACTGTAAATAGTACATTTCTTTTGCGTATATAATTGCTTATTGCTTTTTCATTTGATATATAGCATTGTACATATGACAGGTCTTTTGCAAAACTGTGTGATCTTTGTGAAAGTAGTACAGTATATGATCTTTAATTTCTTTTTTTATTTTAAATATACTGTCACATTGAAGCACTGGTTGGGCATTTTAATTCATGTTAATAAATCACAATTATGTCAGTTTTACCAAATTGTCCTGTATAGCTAATGTCTAAACTGGGGTCTGCTTAAGTGGTTTTACAAAAGTTAGATTTTGAACATACTTTAGCGACTACTACCTCCGTTGGTATCGGCAGTAAGCAGCTGGTCCAGTAATGGTCCCTGCATGCCATTCTGCGGAAGGAAGAGCCACAGGAAACTGCTTAACATTCTGGCGTCATACAAAATGAATCCAGACCACTAATGCATTACGCAAGACAGACTGCAGTTTATAACAGTCGTTAGAAGTATGAGTAGTCTGCCCTCTGGAACACAAGAGTATCTAACGTGCACAATTTAGAACGTAACTAAATGTCCTATTGGTTAATCAAAAATTATTTAGAAGGTGTATGTTTAGTATCTACCCACAGATTCTTTAAATCTGTGAAGTCATGGGAAATAAGTTTCTTTAAATTTGGTCTGGCAATACATAACTAAGAGAAAGGCAGTAAGTAAAACAAAGATGGCCTCTCAGTTATTTATGGCTGAAACAAAGTACTACTTCTGACAGTGGAAAACGAAAATTCCCAGCCTTTGCCTTCTGTCTCTCAGGAGTGCTAATTAGTATATCCATTATCAATGACCACGTCAACACGTTTTTCACCATCCAAATTACCTGGCACAATTTGGGCACAGTACACAAATTTTGTGCATCAGAAAAAAGAGTAAACAGACATTAAGAATGACTGAGATCTGGCAGTAATTTAAGTCATGTTTTATGATTTTAATTTTCATTTCCTTTTGAAAATTAGCTTATAGTTGTGCATTAATACAGCACACTTAGGGTTCAATCCTAATCAGCTTCAGGTTTTAGAACATAAGTCAACTTTGCCATCCTTGACTTGTGAAGCAAAATTCTACTTATGGCATTCACAAAGAAACATTTGAGAAAAAATGGCTTTACATCATCCATCACCTGATAGTTTCTTAACATAAAATACCAATATTCACCTCTTTAAAAGGACCCTCCTGAGCATTCTTAACTGCTCAGTGCTTCAGAATGGCCTGCTATAGAATTAATGCATACAGAAGCTCATGTGCAAACTGCAGAATATTAAATAATGCTATGATGAAAGACAATCCTTAAATATTGTCCTCTACCAAACATTCATCCCAAAAAGGGGGAGAAAAAGTGGAACTATAAAAAGAAACAAGCTCTCTGTTCCCATGGAAAGTTTCCTTACTTTACCCTGCTAATAAGTTACATCTGGTCCAGGTAAAAAAGAAGGAAGCAGCAAATCAGTTTTCTCTGATTTAAATCAGGTGTGTGTGCGCCTCCGCGGCTCTTACTAGCTGCCTTTCCTCTGCCTTTGCGCAGTTCCGCCTGCCGATTTCCAGCCAGCCACCTTCTAGATCTGCTACCATCATTTTCTATGAAGATTTAATGGAGGAAAGAGAGGACCCACACTCAAATCAGTGAGCGGACTCATGTTTAGCATAACCAGCTGGTTCTCCTTTAGCCTGATGCATTCTTTATCAACAAGCCGCCAAGAATCTGCTAAAAGCCACACGGTACCTAGCACAAATGTATATTCCTTCTACAGCAACTGGTTCTACAATGTAAACTAGTCAGGCTATTTTAGCAGAGAGATGCTACTTAAAAATGAAGAGTTTCTTTTCCAACATGAACTAAAACTTAAGATAAATTTCAACCAAGCGTACTATCATTCTGATAATTCTAGACACAGGGGAGCTATAAATGTACTCTGTAGTTCTTGCAAGAATATTTCCTACGGAAATCATAGCATAACTGGTCTACGACCAACTTCTGTCAAAGAATCGACACAGAGACCTAAGCCTCATTAGAAAAGAAAGCATGCACATATCATAATTGAATGGTACATTCTACCTCACAACAACATGTGATACAATGCTACTTCCTAGGAGGATTATGTGTCTTGTTCCCTCAGAATGAATGGTGTTTAAAAAAAAAGTTTGCAGTTAGAATGGTTTTTGATGAAGCATGGATAAAAAAGGATCACTGCAATTCTAGATAATTAATCTAGAATTAACACCTTTCCTAAATCCATTCTGCCCTTAAAAAACAATACATATATGATTTCCTTACAAAAAGCCTCAATTCACACTCTACAACTGTATTTGCTGCCACAAGGGTGTTGGCATTCCCTTTACTTCTGGTGACACTACACATACAGCAAATGCACGTTGATTCTATCCCTTCAAATACAGGGCAATGACCAAGGCGGCAATGTCTGGGGGAAAAAACCAAAACACTTTAATTTTTAAGACAACTGCAAGCACCTCAAACAATAGATTATTGTTACAATACTTGTTAGCTTGTCACAATCTAGTTATTGCAAAGGCATGTGGATAAATGTTAATGGACAAAGTCAAGAAAAACGAGGCACCTTAAAGAATGTAAAATTTAAAATAAAAAGACACTCAATCCATTGACTTCTAAAAGAGGCTATATACCTCTATATATTACATTCTAAAATTGTATTGCCTACTAATAATGGTTTGTGTCCTGGATCCTACAGTTAATTTTGAGGAAATGCATAAACAAAAACAATGTGCAACCCAGAGAGGGAAAATCATTTTCTCATTCATGGAAAGACAAGAAAGCTGGTAAAATTCACGTAGCCACACATCAAGCTGCCTGTGGAATGGATGCGATCACTGTCACCTTTGAGCTGTGAGGAGTATTCTGCTCACTGCAACTGCAACTGTATATACCGTACCTTGTGTTTTAGATAAACATGATCATGCTTTTCCTATATAGCTATTTAAGTATATATATAGCTATATAGGAAAAGTCATTCCACACACTGAACATGTTTCTCTTGTCCAATTTAACCTATGCATTTAACTTAGAGTGCTTGGAAGAGGCAATACCACATGGTACCAGGCCATCACATTTTTAAGGGGAAATCACTTTTTTTTTTAAAAGTACTCTTTAAAATATGCAAAAATACAGATGGGACTGCTAACTTATAATGGATGTTAGAACAAGCACATCTCCTTCCTTTGAAGTGCCGTACAGGGAATGATGTCCGGCAACCCAGAGCCAATGTGAATGGACTGCGAGGGAATGGAGTCTGCATAACCCCTTGGAGCAGTGAGTCCGCCACATGCAACTCCGCTAAAGAGCGCTCAGTACTTGGTAGCTTTTCTGAAACTTGAGTCCCCATCCCATATTTAATGGAAATTAACATTTACAAGGGTGCATTTACATATACTATAATACAGGAATGATGTCCCTTTGCCAGAAGATAAAATTGTACATTTCCTTGCTATTTCTTGGTTCCACCTTGATAATTTCTTAAGATTGTAAATTATATAGTACTCAGCTAAAATATTTCTTCATAAATAGTTACAAATCCTGCCAAAACACAAAGGGGAAAGAATTTTTCATTCAAAATAAAAATGACATTTGAATGCCACACAACACAAGAAACAATGCTTAGAGACATGTTATTTTTTCCAGAAGAAAATGGTCAACTACTTAGCCGAAGACAAAAGACTACCCTTCCCCAGGATCACAGTGCACAAAAAGCAAAATATCAAACAACAGTACCTCAAAGCAAAATAAAGGTCTGAGGATGAAGCCAGCTCACTTGTAATCCTGTTAAAGAATGAGAGTCACCGTTTAGGTCCAATGTACTGGAAAACACTTGCTAGCTCAGAATGGTGTATTTGTAGATTTGCTAAGAATTCAACCAAGGATGCCGAAGGCATTCGCCAGCGGAGGCTCGTTTTTCTGGAACCATTTCTAACATCGGGATGAGGAAATCCGTGAACTGTGCGGCATCTTCGTGTGGCCAGCCATACTTTTCCACAAGTACATCAAACAGGCTCCAGGGCTTCAGCTTGGTGATGTGTCGCAGTTCTCCTACCAGGAAAAGACAATGGCATCAGGAAAGCTCCAGCCTCACACTTGCCCCATAGTTGGCAGAGCCAAATTACCTACCTGCTCAGTCCACACCTTCTGGCAACCAGGAGGAAGGCTAGCTTTCCTCCTTCGCAATAGCAGTGAAGTATCTGTGACCATGTCAGAGCTCAAGTAAGCTTGGTGGATGTACAAGGGTCAACTGTAATTCATTCACATCAGTTCTAGGTTTCTTTAAGCAGAGTGTGCTAAGAATACCCAGAAAGTTTTCTTTTTGCAGTACTAGGAAGTGAATTCAGGACCTTTACATTAAACTAAATCCCCAGCCCTTCTTTATTTTGAGACAGGCCTCACTAAGTTACTAAACTGCCTGAGCTGGGCTTGAACTTGCAATCCTCCTGCCTCAGCCTCCCAGAGTGCTGGGTTTGTAAGCATGTGCCCAGCTCCAGAATGTTCTCATTTCCCAAAAAAGCCACTAGCACTCCAACTTGGGCGCTCATGCAATCTGCAAGCTTGCTTAGGGAAAGCCCTACAATGCACCCTGTTATGCAAAGAAAGGGGAGTCTCTTTCTCTGCACAGCACTTCAAGAACTTCCAGAATAGTACAGAGGTACTTTTTGGTGGTGGTGTCCAACCTAGCAGCACTGGCTGCCACACCTGTGTGTCTGCTGGGCACAGGAAATGTCACTAGTGCAACTGAAGTATCGTTTTAAATCGTCTAAATTTAAACAGCCACAAGTAGCGAGTGGCTGCTGTACTGGACAATCCAAACGACATGCTGTTCATGTCCACACGTTTGTTGTAAAATCTAACACTCCAAGACTATTACTTTATAAATCTTGAAGTTTGCAGGTCAGGGTAGCTCTGACCCCTCCTTCTGGCCCTGCTCTGTCTCCTGTAGAGAATCATCTGCATTGTTTCATTCATTATTCAAGTCTCTTTGGAAACAGCTACCCACCCATTTAAACCGTAACAATAACAAAAGAACAGGGCACAAAATTACAAAAACAAAAGCAGAACGCCCACATCCCTCCCCACAGTGGCTGCTGCTGGGCTCCACTCTCATGCATGCATGTGGTCAAGGCAGCAACGATGGTTAAAAGAAAAAAAACTATGGTATATCCCTTTGATGAGTATTATTACTACTAAACATGGGAGAAATCAGGGTAAACTGTCAAGCATACAAGAACAGTCTCAAAACTGTGTTCTGCAGATCATCACAAGATTCATTTTAAAATAACCGTAAAGATAGAAACCAAATGCACCAAGACACCAGCAGTGCTAAGGTTCTTTCAATTCCCAGTTTTCGGTAATGTGACTACTACGGATTTGGGGTGACCTGCTTATCTCACCAGAGCGACAGTTTAAAGCACAGGGCACTTGCACAGGACAAGCTAAAACAAGTTCAAAGCAGTTCAATGATCATTCAGTTATTCCATCTTGGAACAAAAGAATACACTGGGAAGCAGTCTGCTCAGAATAGCTAAAGAACCTATGTTTGACGGTGGCATTTTTTAACTAAGTTCCTTTAATAGGCATTAAACTAAGTATAGTCAGGCTGGGGCCACTGCTCATTGGAACAGTGCTTGCCTAGTATGCAAAAGGCCCTGGGTTCAATCCCCAGCACCAACAAACAAACAAACAACAACAAACTGAACAAAATGGACCCATCATATCAATGGAGAAATATTTATTGCCAGTGATAAAAGTCAAGCTTTCAAGAGAAAATTAAAATACCAAAAAAAGAAAAAAAAACCCCAACAAAAAAAAAAACAAGCCCCCAACAATAAACCTAGGTACAGTCAGTCATCCCCTTGTACCCACAGTGATTGGCTCCAAGAACATGCCCCTGGCTCACAACGGAAGTGAGGAGCTCCAAGCCCCTCAGATAGAATGGTGACGTGTGTGTGCACAAGCTTGCCACATTACACTTCCTTCTCTCTATATTAAGTCATCTCTAGATTGCACACAATGCTTCATACAATGTAAGTGCTATGCAAACAGCTGTTCCATTGTATTGTTTAGGGGATAATGACAAGGAACAATGTCTATACTGCGTTTCATATCTGTGGTTGGTTTAATCTGTGGATGTGGAAATCACGGATACTAAGGACTGACTGCAACCTTCCAGATATCTTCAGCTGCATAATAAAGAGGTGAAAATAACAGGCTATGAAACTCTTCTTACATAAGTAGCCACATGTAAGAATAATAATATTTGCCAAGAACAATCTAAGATATCTTAATGTATTTTTGGTTAAGTAATCCCATATTTTTAAAAACCCCCATGTGCAAAGATGTAGCCTAAAATAGCAAAAGACGCAATGTGCAAAGTAACTCGAGCAACTAGCCAGGCGCTGCATGCATGGAGCCCTGCACCACGAAGGCCACTGTGCTGGGTCTCAAAGGACACAGGGGGGCTACACGGGGACGTGGGGCACTCTGGTAAGAACAGATCCCCTGAGCATGTACACATCCGCATGTGTGACACACTAAGAAACTGGGCTGTAACCAGCTGCTGTGACTCCTACTCGCTCCTTCTATAAAATTAACTTCCTACCCAGTTAAAGAATTTTAGCCAGGCGTGGTGCACACCTGTAATCCCAACACTTGGGAGACTGAGGCAGGAGGATCCTTGTGAGTTCGAGGCCAGCCTGGGCTACAAAGTGAGCTCAAGGCCAGCCTGAACTGCATAGCGAGACACTTGTCTCAAAAAAAAAAAAAAAAGGATTTTTACCCTGATCATTTTTTCTTTAAAAAATATTCAAAGATTACGTTTCACTTAAACAAATTTGGAGGTAATCAGATACTTAACTGTGATTATGTTTGCTTAAAAGAAAAGAAAACACAAAGCTGGGTTTTGGCTTCTTTTTGTGATGGTGCTGAGGACTGTACCACCATCCCCTTCGGAACTTGGAGCAGGATCTAACTCTTGTGCCAACCTCAGTGCCACCCTCCCGCAGATCTGCATGCAAGAGCTCAGCCAACAAGGTAGCCAGTCTGCTGGGAGCTGTTCCCCAGGAGCTCTGGCCTCCAAACTGGCTGGAAACATCTGGACGGAGGCTGGAACCTGACAAGAAGCAGGCCAGGAGGAGGGCAGAGGCTGTGACGGCAGCTGTACCTGCCAGCCCCAGATGATGGGTGCTTTCCAAGTACTTCCACTGTACTTCCTCAATGCTAACGGATCTGTGAAGGGAGACATGTTACTTTGTGCACGAAGTTATAGCCCAGAAGCAGACATAGACCCACACGAGGTTTCACGTTCACATGGCGAGGGACTACGAAGGCAAACACTGGGGTTGTACTGTGGTGACGACTGGTAACAATGAAGTAAACCATGGTATGAACTAGACTGGGCTAAATTTCAGTACTGCACACACAGAAAGGAAACCTACTATAAATTCTGGTAGAGAGCCAAAAATAAAATTTAAGAAATATGGAGGAATGCCTATGTAGGGAGACAAAGACAGGTAGGTAAATATTTGGACGCAAAATGTGTATAAATCCTACCTCGCATCGCATGCAAAAATTAACTCCAAATGGAACATAGGACTAAACTATGAGGGAAGAGAAAAACGACAGAAGAAAAGTAAATCAGTCCTTAAAGTACTGAGTTCTTAGGGGGTACCTAAAGCACAAGCAAGAACAGGAAGAGTATATAAGGTAAAAACTGCACTTCAACTATCACCGCGTGCACTCAAGAGAAGTGAAAACATTCGTCCACATAAAACCCTGCGCATTACGACCACATCGGCAGCACGCCCAATAGCCAAAATGTAGAAACAACCAAGTGTGCATCACCTGACAGACAGTGAAACAACATGCATCTATCCATCTGAAGAGTGGAGCATGGCTTCATGCTACCACATGAGACAGCTTCAAAAATTGTGCTGAGTGCAAGGAAGAAGCCCCATGCAAAAGTCACAGCGTATTGTATGATTCCACTTACAGGATATAGGTAAAACAGACCCACAAAAACAGAACTAGCACTGCTGTGAGTCAGGCGTCGAGAGAATTGAGAGTGACTGTGAATGGGTATGAGGTTTCTTTTTGATGGTGAAATGTTCTAAAATTAAGTAATAGGAACAGTTACTCAACTCCGTGAATATACTAAAAACTACTGCATGGTACATCTCTTAAAGGGTCAATCTGCAAATTGTATCTCAATAAAGTTATTCTTTTAAAATGGGCACACACTCAAAAGGGTACAACATAGACAACAAAACAATAAATTTAAAAGAATTCCAGGGTTGTGTCAATGCTAGCAGCAAAAATAAGCATTTCATCATCAGTAAGTCAAAGTAAACGATGGAACACAAGGTAGGAAATACAGGTTGAGCACCCCTAATCCAAAATCTGTAATGCTTTGAGTGTCAAAAGGACACAAGTAGGCAATTCCACACCTGACTTCATATGAAGAGCTGCAGTCCAATGCAGGCATGCTGAAATTACTGTCTAAAACAACCTTTAAAGGGGCTGGGCTGTCACTTCGTGTAGAACTCCTGCCTAGCACGTGTGAGGCCCTGGGTTTGATCCCCAGCACCAGAAACAGAACAACAGTAAAACCTTCAGCCTATCTGTATAAAGTTTGCATGAAACAAATGAATTCCATGGTTAGACCTAGGTCCAATATCCAAGGCAACACATACACAGATGCTAATAGTCCAAAACGTGAGAGAATATGAGATTTGTAGCCCTTTTGGCCTCAAGCATTGTGGATGAGGGCTAGTCAACTTGTATAATGGGAATGATCTAAAACCCATTACAGCAATGATTTCAGCTTTTTGCATTGGATGCATTAATGTTAAAATTATTGAAACATTTAAAGCAGTTCCATTCCTTGGCCTGAAGTTTGTTATTTCACAGAACATCTTTGCTGTGACTTGGGTCACTCTGCGGCACATCATGTCTCAGTGGCATCTCCACTGATGAATACAACTCCAGCTGCAGGGGCCTCCCCCAGGCCTTCTCCACACTGGGCCAGCTGGTGAGCCGGAGGTGGGGGCTGCAGCAAGCAGTGCAGCTGGATAGCGGCCGCACTCTGGAACACATGGGCACCCCCAGCCAGCTCACAGTGTACCCTCCCCAAACCAAAGGCTGATACAGGCTCACGTGCTTGAACTCAGTCAACGCTTCTCTACTGAATCTACTCTGCCAGGTGCCAGTGTGCTTGGCACTGAACATCCAGCAGTACACTAGGCCTGGCCTCTGTGCTCAGACAGCTTTTCCTCAATGGAAGATCTAATCACAGAGAAAAAAGAATAATGTTCATCCGTCTGTCCATCCACCCATCCACCTGCCCAGCCACCCACCCTGGAACTGAACCCAAGCCCTTGGCATGCTGGGGAACAAGGCTCTTTAAAGCTTGGAGTTACTGTTTGAAGATGAAATTGTGGTGAATGTTTACCTGTGCATTGCAACCGTCAAGGCTCACTAACTAGCGTGAGGAAGTTTTCCTTAGCTACTTTTACTTCTGCAAGAGTCAAGCTCACACGGAGAAGACACAGCCTTAGGCAACCCTTCCTTCCCAGGTTTCCAAAGGCAACAGGGCCCACGAGGACATCCTATGGCTCACAGACTGTTCTAATGCCCACGCCTGGCATTTATGCAGCTGTGAAATGATTTGAGAATCTTTTAAAACTTGAAGCCAAGAAAAATCAAGATGGGGAGGGGAAAATGTCCAGCTTATATGGGCCACACACCCACAAAAGAGGTCTGCTCCTATAGCTCCCGGAGAATCCGCTGCCTTTACATAACTCTGGAGATAAATTTGAAACAGTTTAACACATGTGGCTCAAATGTTAAAGATAAGGAAAGTATCTCTTTGTAAAACCTCCTAAATCTTCCCTCCCAGCTCTGAGGGTCCCCACCCTCCTCTACTGCAGAGCACTGCGGACGCCAGCGCCCTGCTCCAAAACACAGAGCACACTGCGCAGGCGCTTCCTCTTCTGACGTTTGCAACATCTCAGAAGCCCTTTCGTCTGACGCCCACACCTCCGTACCAGTGCGCCCAACCCCTTACATACATCCCAGTGCATCTGAGGAATAAACCATACCCATACTTCCATTCTCAGCCAAATATTCTTTACTAAAATAATGGCTACTGATGGGTCAAAAGAATACAGCCCCAGGAGGGCTGCTCTTGTCTGCACTGATTTTCCCACCATCATCAAAATGCATATTCTAAACAGAACCTGGGGGTCATGCCAAAATTTCAGCAAACCACCTCCCTCCTCCTCAGGGATGTGGGAAGATTCATTTTCATGACAAGTTCTTGTTCCTCATAATATTGTTGTGACTTCTGCCAAGACCCCAAATTTCTTCTGACCACCACAGCCATGATAAATAAACAATTATCAGCAAAGATTATCAGCAAAGATCTTAAAACTGAACCCCCAGTCATTGTAGGGAATTTCTGGCCCCATCATAAATTCTCCCTTTCAGCCAAAGGAAGGGGGAGGCATTAACTACCCCAGTAACACCAAGTCAAACTGTCTTCAGTCTGTCACTAAGAAGGATGCAAAATACACTTTTAACTCTGCAGCTTCAAACAAGCTGCTCCAGTGCTTTCAAGTAGCTCATGTACAGATGATGCAGTGATGCATGCCTGTAATCCCAGCTACTCCAGAGGATGAAGAGGATCCAGGTTCAAGGCCAGCCTGGGCAATTTAGCAACACAGGGATGTGCTGGGATTATAGGCACATGCCACCAAAACTAGCTTCAAAATCAAATTTAAAAGGACTGGGGGTGAAGCTCAGTGACAGAGCACCTGCCCAGCATGAGTGAAGCACTGGGTTCAGGACCCTGTCTTTATTGCTTGTGTTGGGAGAGGCCCTGAGTGCCAAACCCATCTGCCTGCCTGCCTGCCAAGAGAACAGGGCTCTCCACACCGCTCACTCCCCTCCGCAGATTGTCAGGTACTACAGGAGACCAGGCTCCCAGCTGGGCATAAACTGCTTCGAGGCTAAGGTAAGGATGAGGCAAGTCACCCTGTGCTGCTGGGGGCTGGCCACCTCCCACAGCCCTGCTGGGAAACAGACTGGAAGGAGGAGGGGTCCATGATTTCCTGGTCAAGCTGAACCCCCAAGCCACGCTAATACAGAGCTTCTCCGTGGTTGACCTCTTTCAAATAACAGCTTCTGGAAGGCCCCCAGGGAAAGTCCATCCACGCTCCCAGGATCCGCCTGCGGACTGAACCTGCGGCCTCGCCCTTGCCAGCCAGGCTCAACTTCAGCCAGGTGCCCAAGCCTTCCACTGCTGTTCTGTTTATACCTTCATTTTAGCAGTTAACAGCGATCACTGTACCACATGTCACACAGTATCCTCTTATACCTTCTTGCACCTCCACAACTTGAAGTAATCCCCATCAACAGGAAAGGGGACCAATGCAGAGATTCCAAGACACGCCCCACCTTGCAGCTCTATCATGGAACGAGGTTTAACAGCAAAGCCATTTTACTGCCCCTAACTCTGCTTTGGCCTGTCTGTGTGTGGAGAGGGGAACTTTACTCAATGAGAATTTCTTATCTCATAGGAAACTTGAAAGTCACATTTGGTGGTACAAAACTATACTCCTAGCACTCCAGGAGGCTGAAGCAGGAAGATCTCAAATTCAAGCACATCCTGGGCAACTAAATGACTTAGCAAGAGTCCATTTCAAAAAAAAAAAATTGCTCCTACAAATCTGGCCAGAGCAGAGGTAAGAGGCAAGAGTATCTGTGAATGCTGGGCATGGTGGTGCAGGCCTGTAATTCCAGCTCTTGGAAGGCTGAGGCAAGAGGACTGCCGTGAGTTGAAGGCCAGACTGGGCTATATAGTGAGTTTAAGGCCATCTTGAACTAAACAATGAGAACCTGTCTAAAAATCTGGGTGAGGAATTTCTAGAACCTCCATGTACTACTCAAACTGACTTTAAAAGTTCTTTACTAAAGGATTGTGCAAACAAAACCAAATCTAAGCTGGAGTTTATCACGAAATAAAACAGCATGTGGAAGGGGCTCTCCAAAAACAATTAAATGAAGAAACAGTATTTCATGGGGCTTTTGGGTATTTTTGAAACCTGGTCATTAACTGAGACTGCACAGGGCAAAGGAGCAGCTATGCAGGGTCAAGCCAAAGGAAGGCCAGCAAGCACCATAACATGACACCTGTGCGACAGTGTGGCAGGACACAAAGGGAAAGTGAGACTGCGACGTACAAAGGCTCCCGCAGGCCTACACCCTGGCTCCACAAACAGGTCCCGAGAGCATAAAGAGCGCTGTGTGCAGGAGGCTCTGTCTCAAGGTGCCTGGGCTCCACTACAGGCGCTACGACACAGAGAGTGGAAGAAACACCTGCGGTTCTTAGAAAATCTTTTTTTTTTTTTTTTTTTGGTTTTTCTCCGGTACCAGGAACCAAACTCACGACCTTGCGCTTGCCAGGCAGGCGCTTTGCCGCTGAGCTAAATCCCCAGCCCAGAAAATCTCTTAAAAGTCCTTTTCACAAGTATCTGAACATACAGACTGGTGCTCAGAGCAAGAGAAGTAAGAGGTAGAGGAGAGACATGGCTGTAGGAAGGCTCTTCTCTTACAAACTCTCATTCTCACGGACACCAGATGACTCAGGGTTGTTTCTTGAGAACTTTCTTCAGAAGATTTCCCCAGTTGTACAACTCCAGATCTTTCTTCATTGCTCATACATGAATGCACAATTTCTCCCTTTCGGAGAGGATTGTGCTGAAAATTAGTGTTGCATAAATACCGTTACCTTTTCTGGTGAAAAACTCCTTGGAATATTTCCCCAACATAGCGTATTTTCGAGGGACTTTCCCCAGAAGTTCAATGATCAATGCTATGTGATCTGCATTGGGAAACATTGCCAGCAAAACAGAAACACACGACAGTTTAATCAGTACACTGCATGCAGACACTACCACCGCCCGCGCAGACAGAAACAGCGCAATCGGAATGGTCAAGAGCAAAAGCACACGCTTATCCCAGGTGGCTGGATTTAGGACTGTCCCAGGCACCACGCAGGGGTCAGTGTGCAGGGCCCCTGCGGTACAGGCCAAACTCGGGCCTTCCCGTCAACTTTTAATCAGCATAGGAATTCTGCTGGGTTGCTTTTGGAATTTAGAAGAAATGTCTTTGAAATCATTAATGCTGCAAGCAGCAGCTACTATTCCATTTCTGTCTGCATCGTGGCGCTTTTCAAAAGGAAGAGGTACTACCTCTGCGATTGAAGAATTCCCGAGAATATTTTCCAGATAGAGCAAAGTGCCTTGGGATACTGCCTAGCAGCTCTATGATGTGGGCTATGTGGTCTATGGAGGAGAGAAAAAAAGGATATGGGAATGGGAGGGGCAAAGGGAAGGATGGGATAAAAGAAGAGGGAAAAAAGTAAAATTAGTAAAAAATCAGATATTGATTCAAATCAACAATGTCTGCAGCAATCCATGCAGAGGCTCGTGGGGCTGGCAGGCGTCAGGCACCATCTGGGGCGTCAGCAGGGACTGATGCCAGCTCCCCCAGTCACCCCAGCATTGCAACCAAGTAAGCATGGAGATGGTCAGGTTTACAAAAGGAATTCAAGCCCGAATTCCCTGGTTTTCAACTCAGCTCCCAGAGAGGACAGCAAACTGGGCAAGAGCTCAGTGGACAAAAGGCCCATGGAGAGGCTTCAGGGCTTGCTGTGCCTGTCCTCTCCAGCCGCTGGCTCTGCGCTAGGGCAAGGCTGGGAGGAGAGGACCAAGAGTTCTCCCAAGCTGCCTATGCCAAGTGGGCACTGCCCATTTGCTGACACTGAGGGGCTTCAAACTCAAGGGAAAAGTGTATGAATTTGGAAATTGAAAACCAAAACATGGCTCTGGTTCAGTAATCAATGTCACACTCTCTGGAAGCTCAGGGCAAGGAGCAATCCCAGACTGCGGTACTCTGCAGGCAGCAACACTTACCTTCGTCCCTGGAATAGTCTTCCCCGGAATGTGGTTCAAACAAATAGTCTCCAGTTGCCAGCTCAAATGCCTAGGACACAAAGACAACACACTGAGCTCTGCAGACTGCCCAGGCCAGGGCTCTCCCCTGGGGGCTACATCTTCTGAGGCTCTCAAGCAAACCTAAACACTCCTAAAACAGCTCAGTCTCTTTATTCTTTCTCCTAAAAAGTTCAAAGAAGCTCCCAGATATATTTACATCTCTTCTCGTGGAAGATGAAGCAGTATGTTATCTTTTCGCTGCAGGAAGCAGAACCACAGCCCTAAGTGCAGGCCGGCCAGCCGCGCAAGGTAAGACCAGGAGCCTACTGGGCCCCTCGCGTCCAGGGTTTGCCCTCTCCACCACGCTAAGCAGGCCCTGCACGGTGGGTGCCGCTGCTTTCTCTGGGCTCATGCACAGTCATCAAGGATACTTTCAGTCTCATTTTATTCATTTCTGACTCAAGCAGAAGAAAGGACCTACAACCAAAAGGACCCTCTTCCGCTGTCCCCAGGCACAATGGAGCAGAGCACCTCACAGGTGCTCCTGAAGGTATCGAGGAGAGCTGCTCCCCGGCTACACCTGCAACCCCTCAGCCAGCCAGTTCTCAGGGCTGTGAGTTTAACTTGGTATCAGTGCATGGAGACAGCAAGTGCTACAGCTCTGCTGACGAAATACTATGGATTTTTGGTTTGGTTTTGTTTGCAGTAATGGGGGCTGAACCCAGGTCCTTCACACTGAGCTATATTCCCACTTATCTTTTTTCTTTTTCTTAAATTTTAAGACAGGATCTTGCTGAGTCACTAAGTTGCCCAGACTGGGTTCAAACTTGCAGTCCTCCTGCCTTGACTTCCCCTATAGTGTGGGACTATAGGTGTGTGTCACTATGGCCAGCTTCAAATCCTTGTTTTTAAAATCAAAAAGAATAGGCCAAATCCCATGTATTTCCAACAAGATGCTTAAAGAAGTCTATCAACACAATGAGTTTTTTTAAAAAGCGAGAGGGAAGGTGGTTACTCTCAGCTCTTCAAAATATGACTAGGCTTTCTCAGTATGACGTAGGCAAAAGGGTCAACACATATTACCATGAATACCTTGGGCCTTTGTACTTCACAAAATGCTTTCACCCTGACAGCTATGAAAATATGAAACATCACTGCCCTTAACAAGTTACTTTCAGTATTATTAATATTATTGTTGTTATTATTATTATTAAAATACTTGAGATCTTCCTTCTGTGCTCAGCCTAGTCCCTTCAGGGAGCTTTCCTCTGAAACAAACTCTATTCTCAGGTTCCTGGAGATCACAGGTCTATTTACTGAAATGCCTTCCTGTGTCAAAGCACCCACTTCTGAATAAATATGATGTACACGGGTGGTGGTGGTGGTGGTGCTGTGTGTGTGTGTGTGTGTTTGGTAAAGTCGGTCTTTCTGAGGCTACGGCACTGGCCAGGACCTGCCAAGAAGTCCACACAACGCTACCTACTGGGGGCTAGGACTCATGAATGTAGAGGAGTATCTCAGCTCACACGACTCTGGGGTCCTACACTACGGAGCTACATCTGGAAGGGTCTAGAGCCCACAGAGGAGAGCAGAACTAACAACTGTGCCATTCTATTATGCCCAAGGCACCCTTCAACAACAGTAGGGGTACCCCAACCCCCACCCTGTATGCAGTGAAACGTCTCTGACTTGATGCTGTCATGACACTGGAAGGGTTGTAGGCTTTACCACCAAGAACAATCTCAGGCTTTGTTAAAGCTTGGCATGAAAAGGTCCAATTTCATACGATGCAATACTTTTAAGCCTCCTCTCTGCCACATTCTCTAGAAAACATCAAAGAAGAGACCTCCCAGTTCAGCCTTCAGGGGCAAAGAACGAGGGCTTACCCTTCTTAAAACCACCTGGGCAGAGAGAAACCCCTAAGCAGCCCCTACAGCACTGAGGGAGCCCCTTGTGCCCTGGGAGGGGCCGGGGAAGGAGACTGTGCCTGCGTTTCCTGTGTAAGCACAACCACAGCAACGCACTAGCAGACAAGGGGCTGGAGTGCGGGGACACACTCCAACTGCACAGGAGGCAGATACGCAGCCCGCCGCAGACTGTACTGACACCTCTTCCACTATCCCTACATCTTTGAATCTGTCCTAGTTTTCTGGTTATATCACCAAACTTAATATCCAAAATTAGAAGTGCAAGACTTCAGAGTTCAAAGAGTTTGCAGAGCCTAATTCAGGGCAGCCCTGGTGCGTGGCTTCTGCGCTGCTGGGGATGCTGCTGGTTGGCCTCGCCACCTTCTGAAATGGGGAGCAGCTCCCCGCAGCCTGGCTGTTCCAGCAGCTCCCTTCCTACTGGCCGGGTCTGTGCCAGGAAGGCTCCAAGGGCCCTCCACACAGCTCTCCAAGCTCAAAGCACCCGCCACACCTGCCGCTTCTTTCAACCAGACCTCTCTACATTGTGCAAGGCAGGGACCTGACTTGTGAAACTCACTACAAAGCTAACATTCTTAATTATTTAAAAATTATTATCTGCATTCTCCCTCAAAGCCATAAAGGACTAGAAAGTGTTTCAGACCTACCTGCCCTATCTACTGCCTCAGATTAGGCCACCTTGGAGATAAAAAAATCTACTTTTTTCTCACATTCTCTGGTACTATCTTCTTAAAACAATGCTTTTACTTCACAATAGAGGACAAAAAAGTACAGTGTGCTCAAAACAACTGTCAAGCTCCCAACAACAGAACACTCACATTATTCCATGTGGCTTCTGCTGGGGAGAAGACTCTGAAAGCTTCGCACAGGAGCTCTTTGGTTCAGACAGCAGAGAACAGCAAATAGCACAAGCATGACACTCCACACCACGCCACAGGCACACACCACACCTATTCTCACACTGAAGCAACAGCAGAGCCTACTGAGGGGAAGGTACCTGACGAGCCAGCAAGTAGGGTGACAGGTGGAGGCACATTTGTGCTCTTCAACTCACAGATGAGCAGCAAAGGCAAAGGTGCCCTGGGGTGTATGGGCACAGCTCAGGTTGCCCCAGAAAGCACCTTGTGCTTTCTAGAAGACTTGGACTGAGGATGGAGGCACTTGTGGTGGCTGCTTTAGAAGCGAGTGCAGTCCAAATCCTCCCTGGGCTTGGCTTCATAAAGAGACTGCTCATTGGCCTACAGGGGAACCCCTTCCGTGCCAGCTAGGGAAGTAAGCAGGCCACATTTCTGGCTGACCTAGCAGGGCACCAGTCTCCTGGCCTTGGACAGCCCTCCCGAGAGTGGCAGTCTCACCTTCCGCCTCTCAGGCCTGGGTAAATGGGAAACCCGGCACAAACCACCCGCTGCCCGGGCCCAGAGCGTTTCTACATGGACTTCATGTGGCACAGTGAGTGCAACTCTCTCTCACAGGGCCCGACAGCACCCGTCACTCACAAGGACAGGCCCAAAAAGTGGGAAGGTAGGGCCCAGGTAAGGAGCGCTCTTCTCCTCCGGAGAGGGGCAGCGCGTCCTCCATGCCCAGCCCTTGGCGGCAGGGCTTCACACTTTGAAAGCTGCGCCCACGCCTCCACCCCGTCAGGAGCACAGAAGGGAAGGGCCTCACGACACGGAAGACGGCAGCACCGCTGCCCTTACCATGCATGCCGTGCTCCAAATGTCTGCAGGCGTGCTGTAGCCTGCTCCTATCAACACCTCTATGGATCTATACTGACGCGTTTGGATGTCCTCGGTGAAGTGTTTATGCTGGAAAGGAACAGGTGTGTTACCAAGGAATACAGACATAGGACAGGAAAAACGGTGTCTTCTCCCATAGAATCATAACCAATGTGTTTTTTGAGGGGGGGTTAGTTGCTTCGTTTTTTTTTTTTTTTGTTTTGTTTTGTTTTTTTTTGAGATAGTCTCACTACATAGTTCAAGGTAGCCTTGAATCACTATGGGTCCCAGGCTGGCCTCAAATTTGTGGCAATTCTCCTGCCTCAGCCTCCCGAGTGCTGGGATTATAGGTGTGTGCCACCAGGCCCAGGTCATGAGCAGTATGTTTTAAAAAGAACACTCTACTTACCACCCAGCAGGCATTCCCCAGGTCAGCAATTTTTACTCTAATTTTATCTGCATTCCGAGGATCCAGGGGGTTCACCAACAAGTCGGCCGCCCGGGTTTTTGCTGGATGGGCAAACAGCACGATAGTTAGTGACAGAGACGAGTAGTCCCTACAGGCGCACAACATCAGGTACAGAACCTCCTTCTGTAGAAGAGCAAAAAAGACCTGGAATCACATAGACCCAGAATCCTGCTCAGCTGAACTTGAAGGAATTAAGTATTTTCTGTCCTCATCTCTGGAAATTTCCACAGGAGAGTATCTCCTGGACTGCACAGAGAACACTGCTTGCCCTCCTTCTTGCCTCCTCCATTCTTCTGCCTCAGGTCAGCCCCACGGGTCCACTGTGCACACCATGGGCCGCTCCCTAATGGGCCATCGCTGCAAGGGACACAGAGGTACACAGAACGTTGCTGTCAGCGCAGCTCACCAGACACAGCTGACCACTGGACCCTGGGCCCCCGCCACTCGTGGAGGTAACAGTGAGAAAGAAGTTGTGAGGTCCAGAGGGAAGACCTGAGACCAAGTTAGCATCTCCACCACCAAACCACAAACTGCCACATAAGCTTAGATCTCTGGTGAGGATCAAACATAACTGTCACTTGTATCACAGAAGTCCGTGTAAAATGCTACTTACAGACAAAGCAGAAAAGTCTGCTCAACACAGATATCTAGACACCCTTTTGGAGAGTCGCTGTGCTCACTGAAAGCTGGGCACTGCTACAATGACCTGAACCTCTTTCGGTCACACAATTCAAGAAAAAGAGCGAAACTATGTGAGACATTCTATGGCCCCGTGAACTTCAGGAAGATCTGCTTTCTTTTTCTCCACGAGAGTGGCAACTGAGCTGGCTGTTATCTGAGGGTACAGCAGTGAAAGGAGTCGATCTGTAATGTGCCACCCACTCCTAGCTGTTGATTTTAAGAACACCTCCCAGGAGCTGCATAATTCAATTATGCTAGAAGAAATATACTGTCAGAGACACCATCACCACACATTTAAATACAGTTTCTTTGTATTTAATATCCCTCATTTGTGTTCAGTGAGCAAAATCTCTTTGATGACATGCTGTTATCCTGGTTCAGGTCTGTAAACAGTTATTCTGCTCACAATGTGTTCTAAATGATAACAGGTAATTTATCTCAATAATTTAATTGCAACACAACAGGAGGAAAAGGGATTATGCTTGTATTTCAGATTTCCCTTTTCGGTGTGATAGGTTCTGTGCTCAGGTCCCTGCCTGCAACACTCCACAAGGCACACGGAAACACAGGGCACTCATGCTGGTCACAGACTCACTCCCATTTGGCTGTGCCAGGAATCGGATCACTTCTTCTCACTAAGCCACAGCTCGCCCTTCCCACTGACAATGCAAACCCAGTAACACCACCACCGTCTCCTTTCCAAAATGAAAAGCCTACAAATGTGCTCTGCTCCCACCAAGTAAGTGGAACCATTTCAGGAAGGTCTGGGCTTTTAAGTTAGTTTCTGATAAAGCCATTTCTAGGTGACAGAGGTGATAAGGGCACACAGGTCCTCCAAGGAGGCCTGAGTGTGCTCTAACTGCAGAAGAGCCAGCACCAACCCAAGGAACGAGCACACCTTGGAGACTCCAAGCCAGAACCTGACCCTCCTGGGGGCCAGGTGCCACAAGAGCACTGCGAACTGGCAGGAAAAAAGACATGCCAAGTTAGGATCACATGAACTAGCTGGGACTACGTAAAAAGTAAGTAAATGAGCAATCCACACACTGTTATGGTTTGTGTCTAGAAGTGTTATGGTTTATGCACCCCAAAGCCTTGTGTGGGCACAGGCAGGGCTTTTTCAGAGGTGGCTGGATCGAGAGTATGTGGTGCTGGGATTAAGGGAGTGTCGTTACTAAGTCAGTCCACTGACTGGTTTGGCACAGTTCTTGGTATGAATACTACCTGCCCTAACAGGGGGTAGCCTAGATAGAATATAAAGGGACAGAAAGAAGCTGCTAATGCCACTTGCTACTTGTTGTTCCTCCCTTGTGGCTTGCTGCTTGCTACTTCATCGCTTTGCAGCCTTTGGCTGCCAAGAAATGTTTCTCCTCTGAGATGCCCCTCTGCCATGCCACCCTGCCTTGGAGCCAGCCGACTATGGACTGAAACCTCTAGACTGTAAGCCAAATAAAACTTTCCTCCTTTAACTTTGAGTGGCAACAAGAAAAAAGTAACAGCACACTGTTAGGTAACCATATGTCCTATGAAGAAAAAGCAAATAAGAGAAATAGATAATGAAGAGGTTGTTCAGAAAAAGTCTTGTCAGAGAATGTGGCACTCAAAGAGAGGCTTGAATCAAGGATACCCCAGAAGGGCAGAAGCTCGAGGCAGAGGAAACATGAAGTACAAAGACCCCAAACTAGAAACAGGCTCACAATTTTAAAAGGCTCTGTGAAGAAGCCAGCGTGAATGATGTGAGCCATGACTGCGACACCTGGGACACCAGAACCAGGGAACAGATGGCCGCCTGCAATGAGGGACACTTTGGGGCATGTTCTCCTAGAAATCCATTCTCAGTCATTTGGGGGTGGGGAGAAGATGAGAGCACCTGCAGACATTAGGAAGAAAAAACAGCATTTTCTCTTACAGAATCATAACCAACATGCTTTCTGGGACTTTTTTTGTTGTTTTTTTTTTGGTTTTTGAGACAGACTCTCACTATGTAGTTCAGGCTGGCCTTGAACTCACAGGGATGCTCCCACCTCAAACTCTGGAGTGATAGAATTACAGGCGTGCCCCACCACTGAGAGTACATAATGTAAAGAGACAGCAAGACAAAAGACAGGCGGAGGTGCCAGAGCTGACGTAAGATGGGCTAGAGGCTGGACAGGACTGACAGCCATGGATGACACTGTGAGGATGAGGAGGGGGAGGATGCCATGCAGACCCCACAGGCAATGCTAATGAGATCACTCATTCCAGGGTCTTTGTCCTTCAGGCTTCTGGAGCCAAGATATATGCTATGGCTCTAGCTGCTAGTGGCCTAGGACAAGCCCTGCCCATTGTTCTTAGCCTTTAATGGCTGTCAAATTACTCTAGAGAAAGTCTGTACCCTCCAGCTTAGTATGGAAGTTCTTCCAAACATCTGATTGGCTCCCACCTTCCTTCACTATTCCTGATATACCCCTTTGCTCTATAGACAAGGACCCACACCAACGCTCAGGAAAGCTTGCTTCTCTCACCTCATGTCCCCAAAGGACGAGGTAGTCAGCTCCTAGCCACCAGGAATCCCTCCCCGGGGGGAAGCTACCCACGGTTATCAGGCACCAAGCTGGAACCTCAAGGGGAGAGGCCAAATGCCTGGTAAGGAGACCCTGCCCTGGCCAACAGGATAGGATCAGTGAGAAGAGGCTGTCAGGGACAAGGCGCAGGTCGGCACAGCAAACTGTCACTGAGCCCGTGGAAAAGGGAAGAGAAGAGGAGCAGCAGAATATAGCCTGGTGTCACTCGTTTGTTCAAGAACACATTCCTGCCAACTAGAACCACCCCACAGGACTGTCCCATGCCACTGAATGGACAATCAAGAGCGTATCACTGGTGGTTCAAGTCAGTGGGACCGTGACATGTTCAAATCAGAGCTGCTCAGCAGTGGTTCGAGCATAAACGTCTTAATCAACAAATATTTACCTCAGCACCAGATCCTGAGGACATGAAGCTGAACAGACGAGGCAGTCTCAAAGAGCCGACATTCCAGTGAGAAGAAAGCAATGGATATGAGCTATGACTGTGCCATTAAGAAAAGCAGGGGCTGGGGATTTAGCTCAGCGGCAAAAGCGCCTGCCTGGCAAGTGCAAGGTCGTGAGTTCGGTTCCTGGTACCGGAGAAAAACAAAACAAAACAAAAAAAAAAAAAAGAAAAGTATAACCGACAGAAAAGAGGGAAAAGAGCTGAAGCCTGTTGGGGAAGCCAGGAAGCACCAACCTAGGAAGTAGTATATTGTTTTATCTTATCCTGGAAGAGGGAAAACTTAAGAAGAAAACTTTAGAACTACTGAGATCTGAATATGCAATGAATAATAACAGATAATATTATAAAATAATTTACATTTTTACAGACAGTTGTGATAAGTATGATAGAGAAATGTCTTACTTCATCTCCCAGGGGATGCTGAAGTATGTAGGAGTAAAGTATCCTCATATTTATAGTATGCAATTTCAGTATAAAGTCAACTTAGTTTCAGTATAAAGTTACTTTCAGTGTAAAACAAACTTAATCAGCTGACCTCATGCTGTAGGCTTGTAACCCCAGCACTCTGGAAGGCTGAGGCAGGAGGATCCCAATTCAAGCCCAGCCCAGGCAGCTCAGTGACTGAGCGAGACCCTGTCTTAAAATAGAGATAAGCTACTAAATCTTCCCTGCATTTCCATGGACAGTGCTGGTTCCTCACGAATGCACACATCCCACTATGGAGATGACTGCTCAAGATGAGGGGAGCTGTGAATAAACGATCTGATTCGCATTCTTAGGAGAATACTCTCACAACAACTTGGAAGAGTGGTTGGAAAGGCAGGTGGGGAAGGCAGCCAGAGCACAGAGCCAAGAGACCATCATGGAGCCTCTGTACTGCCCACGCCCCAAGACCCAGGCTTGTGGCCATATTTAGCAGGCGCTGGCAGGATGCGATGACTCACCTGCGGCAAAGGAGAAGAGGAGCCCTGAGGAGACCAAGGCATGCAGCAATTTAGCCGCTGGCAGGCAGGGTGTATCCTGTTCCCAGGGTTAGATACGAAGTCCCCTTGGTCATGTGAGCTGATGGGGAAGAGACCTGCTTTGGGCTCTCTCCAGGAGTCCGGGGACCCCTGCCCAAGGCCTGGTTCCCAAGAGTACTTCACACCCTCGGGGATGCAGCACACTGCTGGGCCTCCGCAGTCACTGATGAGGAAGCTGGGAGGGGCGGGGCATCAAAGCTGCAGAACCTTGGGCGTGTGTGTGTGTGTGTGTGTGTGTGTGTGTGTGTGTGTGGTGGGACACAACTGCTAAGTGTCAGGAGGATGCCCTGAGACCAAAAGATGCCTGGAGATGACCAGGAAACCACTGGAAGGGGAGGAGGACCAAGTGAGGCCTGGGAGGCAGAGGCAGGGTCCGCGTGGCCACAGCCTTGCACCCATTCAAGACAGCGCCTGCTCCCCAAAGGTGCTCAAGTGTCCCTCAGACAAGCAATGAGATGAGGGCATCTGTCTCAGAACACTTTGCCTAAATTAAAACACTTTATCACCCGTTCATTCACCCACCTTTTCTTTTCTTTATGGTTTTTTTGAGACAGGGTATGTAGTTTAGATTGACTCTGAACTCACTATCCATCCCAAGATAGCCTTGCTCACAGCAATCCTCCTGCTCCAGCCTCCTTAGAATACAGTCATATGCTACCATGCTCGGCTCATCCACCACAATTTAAAATTTCCTTTTGCGGATGTCCACTGTCACACTCCTCTTCAATATGGTTCTGGAACCACTAGCCAGAGCAATTAGACAACAGAGAGAAATAAAAGGAATAAGGATAGGAAAGGAAGAATTAAAACTATCACTATTTGCAGATGACATACTTTATGTGGAAGACCACAAAAACTCCACAAGAAGACTCCTTGAATTAATCAACAAATTCAGCAGTGTAGCTGGATACAAAGTCAACACCCAAAAATCAATAGCATTCCTATACACAAACAACAAACACACTGAGAGGGAAATTAAGGAAACCATACCTTTCACAATAACATCCAAGAACTTGAAATACTTAGGAATCAATCTAACAAAACAAGTAAAAGATCTATTCAGTGAAAACTACAGTACTCTGAAAAAAGAGATCGAAGATTTCAATAAATGGAAAAATATTCCTTGCTCATGGATAGGAAGAACCAACATTGTGAAAATGGCCATACACTCAAAACTGTTATATATATCAATGCAATTCCCATTAAACTACCATTAGCATACCTCACAGATCTCGAGAAAACATGCCTTAAATTCATCTGGAACCAGAAGAGACTCAGAATAGCAAAAGCAATCCTGGGTAACAAGGACAAGTCA